GCAAATTTCCAGTGAGACGCCTGCAAATTGTACCTTCCCAATCCTGGCAACTCTCCAGTGTGAGCCCTGCAAATGGTACCTTCCCAATCCTAGCAACTCTCCAGTGAGACCCTCTGCATCTGCAAATGGTACCTTCCTAATCCTAGCAACTCTCCAGTGGGACCCTCTGCAAATGGTACCTTCCCAATCCTAGCAACTCTCCAGTGAGACCCCCTGCAAATGGTACCTTCCCAATCCTTGCAACTCTCCAGTGAGACCCCCTGCAAATGGTACTTTCCCAATCATAGCAACTCTCCATTGAGACCCCATGCAAATGGTACCTTCCCAATCCTAGCAACTCTCCAGTGATACCCCCTGCAAATGGTACCTTCTCAATCCTGGCAACTCTCCAGTGAGACCCCCTGCAAATGGTACCTTCCAAATCCTAGCAACTCTCCAGGAAGACCCCTTGCAAATGGTACCTTCTCAATTCTAGGAACACTCCAGTGAGACCCCCTGCAAATGGTACCTTCCCAATCCTAGCAACTCTCCAGTGAGACCTCCTGCAAATGGTACCTTCCCAATCCCAGCAACTCTCCAGTGAGACCTCCTGCAAATGGTACCTTCCCAATCCTAGTAACTCTCCAGTGAGACCCCAGCAAATGCTACCTTCCCAATCCCAGAAACTTTCCAGTGAGACTCCCTGCAAATGTTACCTTCCCAATCCTAGCAACTCTCCAGTGTGAGCCCTGCAAATGGTACCTTCCCAATCCTCGCAACTTTCCAGTGAAACCCCCTGCAAATGGTACCTTCCATATCCTAGCAACTCTATTGTAAGACCCCCTGCAAATGGTACCTTCCCAATTCTAGCAACTCTCCAGTGAGAGCCCTGCAAATGCTACCTTCCCAATCCTCGCAACTCTCCAGTGAGACCCCTGCAAATGGTACCTTCCCAATCCTAGCAACTCTCCAGTGGGACCCAACAGCAAATGGTACCTTCCCAATCCTAGCAACTCTCCAGTGAGACCCCTGCAAATGGTACCTTCCCAATCCTAGCAACTCTCCAGTGAGACCCCTGCAAATGGTACCTTCCCAATCCTAGCAACTCTCCAGTGGGACCCAACAGCAAATGGTACCTTTGCAATCCTAGCATGTCTGTCATCAGTGAGATTTAGTGATCAGCCAGCTTTGTCGTACCAGATTTTTTTTGACAAATTTTAGTTTACTGCCATTTTACGTATGCGCCACAAGATAGACAGGCACTTATACCCCTTGTTTGCAGTCTCATTTCAATAACTTGACCACCTCACTTTATCGATTTGGATAAGACCAGCAAATAGAAACATTACACATGTCTATCGATGACAACCATCAAACATGTAAACATTGGGTTTACCAAAACAAGCAGTCTCTCGGCTGAGATAGCTCTGCTGTTAGCAATGCACATTTCAATTAAAGAACAGAAGATATCATTAGAAAATGAACAATATGCATAGTATCGATGCAATGGGACTTGCGGTTTTCATCAAGAATTCAAAAATATCATTTTTCACCATAAATGATTGCGGTTTTTAACCATAAGAATATATCACTTTTTACCAAAAATATTCAGCAAAATTAGATAATTAAAGATATTATTACAAAATGAACAAATCTGAGACAGGTCCACATGTAGTACTATATATGTTATATCAAAGCAATTGGACATGCTGTTTTTAACAAGTAGAACATATCACTTTTTACCAAAAATGACAAAAATATTCACCAAAATTAGAGAATTCAAGATATGATCATGAAATGAACAAACCTGAGAGAGGTCTACCCAAGGTACATATACACCAAGTATCAAAGCATTCAGGCTTGTAGTTTTCAAGAAGTCGTCGAAAAAGTAAAACATTGACACGGACGACAACTGACAATCACTCAATGTCGACAGCGGAGCTAAAAATTGCCATCAAAATTCTCAGATTTTCACTGGAGTAAATTCCAGGGTTTCTGTGGAATGGTTTCAGGGGCAACACCTTACTACTATTCGCAGTGTATGTTTCGGAGTTCGCTTGAAAGAAACAATGAGATGTCAGATGAACAATTTCATGTCCTTTGATAACATGACACCTGCAGTGCTACCAAACCCTTCCTGTTCTAATGTTTGAATACTTTAAAAGTATAGAGGAATGGTCTTGGGTCTCATTACAAATTTTGTGCAATACAGAACTAGCCCAATTTCCAAAAATAAACGATATTTGGTGTTGGGTTTTAAGTACAAGTATACCGGTAACCCAACTTCGGCTCTTAGAGGATATAAAGTTCAATCTGCGATAAATATCTCTGCCTAGGATCCAAACATTTAATTTCGGATCAGATTTCATGTCCTAGAAAATTCCCCATAGCCATTTGCCAGGGAACCCTCTCAGCCAACATCTCATCTATCCAATATAGTAATGTGGAAATTGATTTGGCTTCAGGAGCAATCATAATTTTTATACAGACGTCCAAGAACCCAGTATTAAATAAACCTTGTTTGTTTTTGTAGTATATGTAGTAGTTTTAACACTCAGAACTGCAAGGCAAGCATCTCAGTACGAACTGCTATAATTCAGACAAAACTACATCAGAATATTACTTTGTTAGGAAGAAAGGCAAGAGAATTAGTGTTCTGTTACAGCTGGTGAATTCTTTGCGCTTCAGTATTTCAATATGCATAATTATCAGCAGCATAGTCACAGAAATATATTTCAAATTGAATATTATTTTATTCTAACACTTAAACTCATAAACATGTCAGAAAAAATTGAAAGGCAAACAATGGATGCTATACACAACAGAACACAATCAGTTTTCAGATAATAGCAAGGGAAATATTTAAATAATGTTATGCTTTGGTGGTTCCACAGCTAAATCAATATTATAACCAATCAGACTACGTCTTCCTATTTGTTCACCAATAAAAAACCAAAAACAGACTTCAACTGCAACAAGCGTGTTCAACCATGCTTCCTGTGAAGAGAAAATAAAATGTATTTTCAGTACATTGGGAAAATCAAATATTCAACAGTAGCAGAAAAGGTAACAGTGAAAAAATAAACTGGCAACAATTGTTTAGAAGGTTAATGAATAAACATTAAAATATTGAACATGGGAATTAACACAAAACAGATCATCTCACCCTGTCTATGATCAACAAAGAAGACATAGAAGCATGAAAATATCCACAAATTTCAACGAAATAAACCTTAATGACTAATTCAGCTTTATCTTAAACAATACAAAACTATTTCACTCCATTTAGGCCGATATTTGAGCATCTGATTCGATCAAGACAGCAACTTGTCCTATATACCAGATTTTCTAGTTACATGGAAGTTTTTTTTTTTTCATTTTCTGTTTTTTTTAAGGTTTGACAATATTTGTCAGCGTTTTGTGTATTGTATCCATTATTATTCATTCTAAAGGATGTTAAATAAATAAAAATATATATGAGCAGCCTATTTTTTTTTCTGTACTATAATTTTGACTTAAGATTTAGGAAAAAATACACTTGTGTATTACATTAAGAATATTGTTAATTACAAGTCAAAATGTTCATAGTTCTGTGAATGAGTCTTTGTTACTACAATAGTTAAAATAAAAAAACAAAATTTTGGATCACAAGCCAAAGTAAAAAACAACATGTATGAGTACATAAAATTCAGTTTTCACCAGCTTGGTTGCAAATATTGTTTTCATAATGATGCAAATTGTAATTGCAAATCACTAATAAATTGATTTATTACATATGTACTGCAGTTTATTTTGAATCGTCTCTGTAATCAAAATCGGTATTTCCACACCGCATATGCAAATGAGGTCTGAAAGAAACAAAGTAGTTACTTCAGGAGTATCGTTTTTCGAAACGTGGCAGAAATAAACAATATTTAGAAATATGATATTTTTCCCTTGGGGTACATAAATATACTTGTAATTGTACTTTTAGACAGTCACTTATTTTGACTAAAACTAGTTTGCATATCGCCCATGCAATAATGTTTTTGGTATTTTCATAGTCGATTTGCAAATGAACATCGTATTTCCATTGGCTACTGAACTATTTTTATTTTGTAAACACATTTTCATCTGCTATTTTTTTCCTGGTTTAAATCGTTCAGCAACATGTTTGGCATATTAGGTGTACATCACATGGAATATAACGATTGGGAGAACATAATTTATGTTGACCACCTGGCATCAAGATACCAGGAGGCGTTGTTGAGGCGTTACTCACTTCCAAATAAATATTACCAACACCAAATGAGCAACATTTTAAGCAGGAAGCAAGACTCAGTCAATCCAAGACCAGCAAGCAACATCATAAACGAAGTTGCAGCATATTAACATTTCTGTCATATTAACATTTTAAATGAGAGGTTAGTTTTCTTTTACACGTATATATATATATATATATATATATATGTATATCAAGTGATAATAATACTGAAGCTGTTATTTTAAAAACCATGCTTTTGCAAAACCATTCCCAAATTGTAACTCAATGTTCAATTACCAGTTGACTAAATTTCAAGTTACGAGCAACATAAATTTTTACTGTTGTTGAACAACCACATTTAGTAACACAAACTTTAATTAACAGTTAACATAACTTCGATAGTTGTGATTAGTATTCAAGATATCAGTGAAAAGGCTGAAAATTAACTAATTAGGTAATTAATATGCACAATTATATATTCCAAAACTAATCAGGTCTCTGCATAGACCAAGAGGACCTATGTACCAAGTTTCATTGATGATTTGTACTTGAGATCAGTGGAAAAGTCGAAAATTGATTAATCATTATGCAAATTAGGTAATTAATATTGCACAGATTTTTACCCAAAACTAATCAAATCTGCACATTAGTTTGAAGCATATATGTGCCAAGTTTCATCAAAATCTAATGAGTGGATCTTTAGATATCAGTAGAATAGTCATGGAACAGCTACAAATCAGCTAATTATCATGCAAATTAGGTAATTAATATGGATGGATTTTTACCAAAACCTAATCAAATCTGCGCATTGGCCCAGAGCATCTATGCACCAAGTTTCATCAAAAATCAATGTATGGTTCTTGAGATATCACACCCCCCTGTGTTCCAACAGACTAATGTTTTTAATTTTGTAAATTCTGGTGGTACGTAATTAATATTGTAATAAAATGTGCATATTTTTTGTGATCATTTCTGTTTCTTTACTGTGAAAATCAATGACGATGCAACTAATTTGGTAATTTGATTTCCCTCAAAGACGTAATCCGTAACATGATGAATCAAAATTTTCATTCGCACTTTTTTTCGAAGGGGGGTGCTCGGGTAAGCACCCACCCCTAAAAAAATCCGATCGAGTATGGTATATACTCCTGCCAGATAACTTCGTTCATCCACAGCCCCCGTATTTCCTTGAAACTGTGCGTTACAACCAAAACATATGGTGAACGCACATTTGCTGATATTGGCCCCGCTACCTGGAACAATCTACCATATGATGTTTCATCAAAAACCGATGTGTGGTTCTTTAGACATCAGTGGAACAGACTGATACACATGCATGCATGCATGGATACATACATACATAAAAAAAAATCGATGTGAGTGTCCAAACGGGACTTTCCCCGAAGGCGTGAATCCGAGTTTCTGATTGACTGAGAGATTTTTATTTTATTGGTAACGAAAGTATATTCTAAACGAAGTTTCAAATAAAAATGTACACACCTGCATCGTGTAGAAGCAAATGATCATGGTTGCGAAATCCGGTCATGCTGTGTTCCACAATTGTTGATTATTACTTAGTAGTGATTATAATAATGTACACAAAATAAATTCTTGAATTGTATGAAATACAAATAAAAGTCAACTTAGTTTCATCGTAAGCAAATGATTCTGGTCTCATAAACGCTCGATGCTGTAGGATATCTGCCATGTTCTCTTAGGTCAAATAGGTCAAATCACTAATTAACCAATCAAAAAACTGGATGAGGTCCATGTGTTCAAATTACCATAGCTTATTTAAATATATTAATGTTATTGAACGCAATGCGAAAGAGATCAATGTTGTAGTACAATCTTTTGGCTTGGATTTTGATGGGAAAACGGCATGATTTTTTTTAAATTAAAAAATTAGTTCTTTTTAAAAAACAAGCCATGAATGGCACAGTCCCCGTTAGTTATCAAATTTAAGATATAAAGTTTTGTTTATAGTAATATAGCTGGAATATAAACATGTCAGGAATATGATGATTGTTTAACATTTAAATGATTGACATTTGTATCTGATCGTCAAATGAGTATTGAGAGATATTGCTCTGGACAGCATTAATTAAAACAAAATCAGCCATTATGAATACATGTATAATGAATATATGAAATTTGAGCATAGTCAGTCAAAGCACGTCAGAGATATGGCTCTAGAAGCCCATTCATTAAAACAAAATGGCCACTGGTCAGACGTTCAGAATTCGATCTAAAAAATAAAACAAGTTTTTTAGCACAAAAATAGCCATTATTAGGCCACTTTGAAAAGGATCGTCAAACCAATATATCCGTCTATCTATGACATGATGTATAATGAATATTTAAAATTTGAACATAATTAGTCAAAACAAGTTGGAAATATGGGTCTAGAAACCCATTCATTAAAACAAAATGGCTGCCAGTCGGCCATTTTGAATGTTATCTGAAAAACAAAATTATTTGCATCAAGGTCCTATAATGTCCAACGTATATACAAGGTTTGAACAAAATCCATCTGTAAACTGCCGGGAAATGCTTGATTTTGATGATTTTTAGCACAAAAATGGCCGCCATTCGGCCATCTTGAATCAGATCGTGAAACAAATTGATGTGCATATGTATGATATCATGTATAATGTATGAGTGAAGTTTGATTGTGATTGGTCCAGGCATTTCTAAGATACAGGTCCGCACGCACGCACGCACACGCACGCACACGCACGCGCACGCACGCACGCACGCACAGACACACGGAGGTCAAAACATAAGTACCCGTTTTCGGACTTTGTCCGAACGGGGACTAATAAACTGAGCATTAGAAGAATAATTTAACATTGCTGTAAACATGATAACATGATAACAGCTCATTGTCGAAACGAAGCTTACCCGTTCACGCTAGTCTTGATAAAAATCATACTCTTGAATAGACGTCAATGACGACGGTATAACTTGGACTATTTTAGCCGTCAGGAATGATTGAAATGTCTGAAAAATTATGCCAAAATATACCTTAAAAGTCCCATTTCATTTTTTTAAACCCAATTTTATTTTTTAATCCAAGAGCAAATTTACGGCAGAATCTGGTACCTCAAGTAAGGGACATGTGAGCTTTGATTCTAACCCGGATATATTGCACTGGGTTGGGAGTTACAAATTGTCTCATTGCTAAACTTCCACCTGTACCTGTACTTCGGACATTCACAAGTTTTTCTAGGTGGTGCGAGACAGCTTTGCCTTTTGACCTATTAGTTTTATGTTGACCTCTTCTCCGCATCTTGATGTTTTGTTTTCCTTATCATAATACATAGTGATTGATGACTTTGTTTTGATTTTGAGTTGTTTAGCCTACAACTCGGCCATGACCTTTGCTTTTACCGTGAAACATGGGGAAGCTTATGTCAATTTGACCGACATTCCATTCCAGCACACTGTCTGTCATCCCCATTTTTTTCATTTGCTAATTTCTACTCTGAAAAACTTGACCGTTCGAAAATGCACCTTAATTTTGACTCTAAAAACATGTCAGATTCCCAACACCAATTATTTAAAACCGGTCGAAATTTTGGAGTTTTTACGGTACATGCATACATACAGACTAACGGCAAAGACTCCCATTTGAGAAGAGTCAAAAATCTATGTTGCCCGTAACTTGCTTGATGTTTGGCCAACTGTTTGATTTATGAGGTGTATGTTGCCCATAACTCAAAGTTATGTTAACTGTTCATTGAGTTATATTTTGGACGAGGTCTTAGCTAATGTACTCTTTTAAACTTTTCATCACGACACTTTCTTGCCCAAATTGTTCTGCACTTTTTTTTTTATATTCTTCAATTATATAGTTTTGTTTATAGTAATATAGCTGGAATATAACCATGTCAGGAATATGATTTTTTAACATTAAAATGATTGACATTCGTATCTGATCGTCAAACAAGTACTTGTCCATATTGAGAGATATTGCTCTGGAACAGCATTAAAAATCAGCCATTTTGAATACATGTATATATATATATATATATAACATGATGTATAACAAATATATAAAATTTGAATATAATCAGTCAAAGCATTTAAGAGATATGGCTCTAGAAGCCCAATCATTAAAACAAAATGGCCGCCAGTCAGCCATTTTGAATACAATCTGAAAAATAAAATTACGTGCATCAGGAACCTGTAATGTCTAATGTATGTACCAAGTTTGAACGAAATCCATCCATAAATGCTAGAAATGCTTGATATTTGAGGATTTTTTAGCACAAAAATGGCCACCATTTTGAATAGGATCGTCAAACCAATAGAGCTGTCCATCTATGACATGATGTATAATGAATATTTAAAATTTGAACATAATCAGTGAAAGCAAGTCAAAGATATGACACGAGAACCACATTCATTAAAACAAAATTTTGAAACTTTAATGAAAAACAAAATTATTTGCATCAAGGTCCTATAACCCGTAATTCTAATGTACATGTATATACCAAGTTTGAACAAAATCCATCTGTAAACAGCCGAGAAATGCTTGATTTTTATAATTTTTTTAGCACAAAAATGGCCGCCATTCGGCCATCTTGAATCAGATTGTGAAACAAATTGACGTGCATATGTATAATATCATGTATGATGTATGTGTGAAGTTTGATTGTGATTGGCCCAGGCATTTCTAAGATACAGGGGCGCACTCATGCACGCACAGTGGTCAAAACACAAGTCCCAGTTTTCAGACTGTGTTCGAACAATACTGTAGTGAAAATGAACAATACTGTAGAATATCTTATTTTCGCTAGGAATTTATTTTCACTATTTCTGTGAAAATAAAATCCAACGAATATACTTTTTTCCCATATTTCACATTCAACTCATCAAAAATCAGTGAAAATAAATTCCGTAAAGAACGCCCAAAAAGACCTTTTCAGCGAAAATTAATTCCAGCATAAATAAAGTATTCCACAGTATGTAGACAAAAATAATTTTGAAAAAGGTCCACATGTAGTACCTATATATGCAATATCAAAGCAATCTGAATGGGGTTTTTAACAAGAAGTCAAAAATATCACTTTTTAACAACAATTACAAAAATATTCACTAAAATTAGAAAATTCAAGATATTATCACGAAATGAACACATCTGAGAGAGGTCCACATGTAGTACAAGTGTGTAGCTAGGGGAGCATTTTTGACAAGTTAGGTACAAGATTGCACAATTTAGTGAAATTGAGACAACATTGTAATGACATCATGGTCATAGTAGTCACCTGACAGGATACATTTAGGAAGGGATTGGGAATAGTACATGTTCCTTATGAAAGCAAACTCCTGTATGTAGTAAAGTCTATGACCGTATAGCCGATAGATCCTATAAACCTTAATAATATTATAGGGGTGACAAAAGTTGAGCATGACAAAACTTTCAATTAGTTACTTTATTTCATGATGCCACCTTTCCATTCTATACATACCCTAACTGTTAGCTGTTTCCATTTTCCTGTTTTGGCCGATGCCACTATATCTGAAATTCCTTTGGATATTTTGGGAAATTCTGCTGGAGTAGGAGGAATTAGTTCCACCTTTGCATAGTACCAAAATTTGCTGAGTCGAGGTTTAGACCAATTGGCAACATCTGAAAATTAGATTAACATGTTATAATTAGTGCAACCTACTACAAATACAAAACTGTCACATTGAGACAGGTGTCAGCAATTGTTACTAATGCCATTCAGTGAGAGAGGTGTCAGCAATTGTTACTAATGCCATTCAGTGAGAGAGGTGTCAGCAATTGTTACTAATGCCATTCAGTGAGAGAGGTATCAGCAACTTTTATTAATGTCACTAAGTGAGACAGGTATCATCAACTTTTATTAATGTCACTTAGTGAGACAGGTATCAGCAACTTTTATTAATGTCACTTAGTGAGAGAGGTATCAGCAACTTTTATTAATGTCACTTAGTGAGAGAGGTATCAGCAACTTTTATAATTGTCACTAAGTGAGACAGGTATCAGCAACTTTTATTAATGTCACTTAGTGAGACAGGTATCAGCAACTTTTATTAATGTCACTAAGTGAGACAGGTATCAGCAACTTTTATTCATGTCACTAAGTGAGACAGGTATCATCAACTTTTATTAATGTCACTAAGTGAGACAGGTATCATCAACTTTTATTAATGTCACTAAGTGAGACAGGTATCAGCAACTTTTATTCATGTCACAAATTAAGTGCAAAAATCCAGAAAAATATTATCAAGTTTTTATTATCATTATCGATATTAACAAATCGTGTGAAATTTTATGTACAGAGAAACACATATTTATGCTTTGGTTGACAGCACTTCTCGAAGTAAAAAAAAAAAAAAAGAGAGGACCTGCGAAACTTTATACAATTGTCAGACACGCAGCGAATAGTATCGGTATGCTTTTGTAATACATGCAGTTCCAGTGGCTTTGCTTTCTGAGAAAAAATTCTGGCTCTGCACCTGAAAAAACAAACAAACATTTAGTGCAAAGTAAGCAGAGGTGTAGCATATGTGCTCCCATTGGTTGTTAGATTTAATTAAAAAGATATTTGATTCTTTTAGTACGAAAA